GTCGCCTCGTGGCTTTTTGATCCCTTAACAGATGTTTGTTCCAGACTCACAAAGCAGCAGATGAAATGGGAGGAGTTCCTCGTACTGAACGTGGTGCTAACCAGCATGCTGAGCCGGTTTTGGTGAGACGTTTCCCTCATTGTCATATGTGCAACATGGAAGCACTTCCAGATTTGTGCTGAACACAGTAACAGCGTGTGTGATTCTACAAATTCACAAGAAGATGTAGAAAAATCTGCATTTAAAATAAATCGTTTCACAGCCGAGCGCAGTCTAAATCCACCTGTTTGTGCTTCATCAGGGTGATCTTCCGTGGACTGCTGGTGAGCCTGTCCAATCTGTACCAGCAGGTCCTGGAGCTCCTCAGAGACGTAGCCGACGCCCAGCCCATGCCCTTCCTCACAGACTTCTCCCTGCCAGTGGATATGGTTCAGTTTCTGGCTCCCTTTGATGCATTTTTACTGACCAAACATCCGGCTTATGATCCTCATCCAAAGGACCACAAGGAAAAGCAACAGCAGCAGAAGAAAAAGCAGAAGAAGAAACCTTCAGCTAACGTCAGGGACCAGGGACGGACGAGGAAGATTAACGACGACCTGGGTGTTGCTGTTGAAAGAGGTATGGAGCGTCCTGAGTCGTAACTCAAACCCTAACATCCACTCCTGCTGGGTCAAGAACAAGTAGTGTGATGGCCAAAGTGTTTGCACAAGCTGCATATATTGTTGTTTTGCACAATTATTGTCATTTTTCAGTCTGTTTAGGGCTTGATGCTTACTTTTCAATAATATCCCTTTAATAACAGGATATGTTGCGGCATTTACAAGCAAAATAGTTTCATTTATACGCCCACAAAAACTAGATTTAACTAATAATCATGCAAATATTTTTACTTTACACGATTTAGACAGTATAAAGAGTGTGAAAGTCCGACAGTTAGATAGTTGTGCTTAGTTCAAACGGCACAAAAGTAGCACAAATACTGTTAAATTCAGCACCCGATAATCATGCAATCAGTCTATTGATGAAATTATGTTTTAGTTTTAATCAGATTTTCATCATTTGACGACAATTAGTTTTAGTGCAGTCAACATAAACTACAAGATGTTCAGTTTAGGTTTTAGTGACGTTTCTTGTCTCCTTTTTGCATTTTTAATTTTTAGCTCGAAGCATTTTGAATCCCCAGCTGTCGTCATCCTTGTGTATGGTTGCTATAGTTACAGGTGTTATTATCAAGTCTTGTTTAGTGAGTTAACCCTGAGGAGAGATGCTAATTAGTTAGATAACATTAACACAGTCATCCATCAGCATTTCTTTGGCAAAAATAAGAAAAGCTTCAGATGGAGCGTCATAACTAATCCTGGAGCTTGTTCATTCATTCTCACAGCAACATGGAAGATGTACAGCTATAAATAATGTTAATGTTGCATCTGCATCATGTGGGAACGCTCCATGGTGCTGCTGGTGTTGGACTAGTGGTCAGACGGTCGGGGGTTCAGTCTGCTGTGGCGTGGCTCAGCCCGCACTCTGACTCCACCTCGCTAACAAGCTAGGATGTGCTAAAGTTCCTCTTGCAGGATCAATGAAGTATTAAAACAATAAAAAAGCCTAAATATATATTAATATCAGCTGCTGCCTGCATGTTGCTGCTGCTTCTCTTTGCAATGAGGTTATTTTATGAACTCCTAGACACGCTGCTGTCAGATAACATCAGTGACAGACAGGATGAAGCTACTGATGAGGATTAATTAGAGGTGGTGGAGGCAGTGTGTGCTTCTACAGGTGCTGCAGGTTGCAGAAAATGTCTTTACATAAAAACGGTGTTATTGGTTCAGCGTAGTGAGCACAGCATCACTGGTGTTGGGAGCAATTGTGCGCACATATGCAAAAAAAAAAAAAACAATATCCTACATGTGGATTATTTAATACAGCTTTATTTTTCTATTATTTAAAACACAGTGATCCATGTTACATCTCTCCATAGAATACTTACATCACAAATTCTTTTCCAGATCTTGCTCTGGACACTGATCTCAAGCCTTTTATCAAGATTTTCAAGAATTTTACAAAGGTAGGTGACCAACCGGACGTCTTTTTTCATTATTTTCTGCATATTTAATTGCTGAGTGCCACCACCTGACTAATATCGGCATCATTTCCATACCCAAGGGTAAATCTGTCCCAGAGGAAAAGCACAAGGCCAAAAAGAAACAGAAGTTCAAGGAACAAGTTAGAGAAACTCTGACTTTCACCCACATGGCAGCCCATCTAGAGGAAATGATTCTGTGGTGCAGATCACAGAGGATGGAGAAGGAAAAACGCCTCTTAACCTTCCTGCAGTTAAAGTGCCGGAAGATGAAATGCCTGGAGGCAGCAGGTTACAAGTAAGTGCAGCACGACAGAATACCAAGTTGTTCAGTCCATACTGCTCACTTAGGCATTCTGCGACACAGCTGCAATGCTAAATGGGAACGCTTATACAATCTGTCCTCATCCACAGCGTCCAGAGGAAGCTCCGCACTTTCAGACAGGAAGCTTGCTGGGCTTCGTCTCCTCAGAAATCAGTGCCGAAGAGCTTCCTTTCTCCTGCCGCGGCGAGGAGAAGCGCTCGCCTGAGAAGTCGCCTCAAATCACTCAGGAGGCAGATGATGTCTTCTGCAATCAGAACTGGTGTAAAAAAGAAACGACAGAAAAAGACAGCGTTATCAGTGTGTGTGCCGTCCGAGGACAGCCAACAGAACAGGACTGCACATGAGGCAGCACACCGGACCGCTGAGTCTGACAGCCACGATGACATAGATGATATATTTGCCTCTGTGGGTTTGTGAAAGACGCGACGTAAACTACTAACAACAGCTCATCTCAGAGAACAGGATGACGCTTTACTCTGTGCAGAGAAAAATGGATGCAACTGAATTTGTAGTAATGATTTTACATTTTCTGAATGTTATACAAGCCCGAAACCCCCGTAGCTGCCTGCACGGTTAACTTCTATGCTTGATGATGAAAAGCAAAATACTTCCTCTGACTCCACAAAGCATTAATACAACGATGCACGCTTCCTCAGGGACCACGATCATTGGAGATGAGCAGAAAGCTGGTGTGAGTGACTGTAAAAGCAGAAAATAATATAAATGGCCCAAACTATGCTCACATGGTGTTTTTAATATGCCGGAATTGTGAATGAAATCAGCATCCACATGTCTGAGCGATTCCACCTTAAAACTACAGCGTACCTATAACAGGGTTTCAGACATAAACCTTATGGAACCAATCCCGTCAGCTTGCTGGTTGGGACTTTCCATATTTTTTATTTTTTTCTAGAATCGGTTCAATCATGTGTGACTGAATAGAGGAAGCAGCGACAATGTGCCAGGACGGGGTTGTTTTAACGGGGGTTTTAACGAGGTTTATCAGATCCCTGCAGAGGGACTTTAAAAGTCATGAACTGTAACAGGGTGCTGATGTCTGGATACCAACTCGTGTAATAAAACCTTCCTGCCTCATTATTGATCCTGTCTCTGTACAATAGACGCATCTGAGGCTGGCTTTGATTTCAAACTTTAAAAAAAAAAGTCAAATAACAGCTGTTATACATGAAAGTTATTCAAATGTCTACACTGTCATATGCAAAAATATTTCCATATTTTTTCCAGTGGGTTGGCTGTCAACAGAGAACAACTGCATTTGGAGACTCATGGAAGTGGCTCAAAGAGTTTATTTTTTTAGGAATAAGTCTGACCAGAATAGTGTATTTATTATTTATAAATGTTCCCTGTGAAGTAGAATAGCTCAATGATACAGTCTGATAAGCATGGGTGGATCAAGCATACTGAAGCCGTGTATTTTTGGTGATAAACACCAAATGAGGCATTTAGACGTCCACTCTTCTGCTGATAACACGGTGGAACAACATCATTAGAACTGCTAATGGCTCATCTTGTTGTGTCCACTTACAGTAGCACTCAAAGAGAAAAAATATTTGTTAATTAACCATAACAATCCTACATATAAACCAGTTTTTAAGTTGTAGACATGATGGATTAAGCTCACAAATTTAAAAAAAAATGCAGTGTGTGAGAGGCTTTTAAGATGATGTGACACAAATTGTCTAAAGCGAGCATCTGGTCTGCAGGTATTTGTGGCTCCACCTGGTGGAGCTGATGATTAATGCTGGCAACGATTAGTTCCAGACTGTTGATTGATCTGTGGGAACGGGGAATGAATCCCTCATCCTTGTTAATCGTGAGGCCCTTGGCAGATGCAGCGTGACACAGCAGAGGCGTTAATCTTCTTCTCCAGAATTGAATTTGTGCCCAAAGAGACTGTGAGTGCTGATGTGAACACACCTGCAGTGGCATATATTAGTGTGGACAGTGTGGAATCAGCTCAAGGCCTTTTCAGGTCTGAGAGCTGTGGAGGCACAAGTGGCACTACATTGAACCGTGCAGGTGTCTGGCAGGCCACAGCGACAGAGGCTGTTCAGAAGAGGAGGCTGTGCACCAAAGGGTCAGTCTTCTTTACAGCCAGCATTTTTTTGCTTCCCACCGTTTTATCGTCCTCTGCCAAAAAAGACTCGGTCCTCCCATCTGCACAAACAGAGCAGCTTTCCTCCCCCTTGCAGATCCCGACATGGTTGAGTTACGGTCTCACATCAACCTGCCAGATTTATTTGTGCATACGACTCTGCAGATTCCTGAACATTCTAGATTTTATCTAAACCATTTAGCCAACTTTTAAAAAACGTTCTTACACCTATTTGGTAAAGTAAAGGAGCAGGAGTAAAGCCTCGAAGGACTGCATCACGCATAGGCACATAACAAGTCAGAACAGTTTGTCTCTCTGCTGCAGCTGAAGTTGCTGTGCCAAATTCTATCAGTATCCAGATTATTACACTTGATGGGAAGTACGGTTAGATGGGCACAGAGGAGGATATGAATGTCAGCACGACTTTGGTGCACGCGGGTCATCTTGTCTCTTTCAAGAACAAGAAGTGAAACAAAAAGTGAGGAAGATCGGTGCTTTTGTTGCCTTTCAAATCCAGCCGCAGTCGAAGCAGAAGCACCGGAGTGTGAATTAATCTACGAACAGATGTCTCCTGATGAAAACGTACCGATTATATCAGAAATCAGGATGCAAAGATGCAAAAACAATCATCTTGACCTTGCTGCTTTTACGAAAGAAATACAAAATAAGTGAAGTCTGTAAACTGATGCTGGTGTAAATGTTTCAGTATAGAATTAGGATATGTGTGTCTGCAGAGTGTGGATGTAATTAAGTTGTGTTTGCATCCCCTAACCTCCCAGCAAACTGTCAGTGCCCAACTAACAACACTGTCCAGGTAATAGAAAGAACTTCCCCGGGGTTGGTAGGCTGATTCCAGCAATAGCTCCTCTCGGGTTTATGTCCTTTCCAGCCGTATACCGTAAAAGCCTGCATCATTATCTGGCCGGGGCAGCAAGCCCTCAGCTTCGTGTGCTTTCTCAGCTTAGCGTAGTGAGACCACCGTGTATGTCAGCCAAGAGGTATTTAATAGCATATCACTGTAAATAGGTGGTTCCACACAGTCGGGCTCAGCGCTTGAACTACACATATTTTTGTTGGTGCTTCTCCAGGGATTCGGTGAATGCATCAGTTTTAGCTTGCAGGCATAATATGACCTAAAACAAGACAGAATATAAAGGTCTGTGCTCCCAATATGACTTTCTTTGGTTTATTTTCCTCCCACCTTGATAGCAGAAAGGGAACAGAGCACAATAAATGTTTCAAGTCCTTCTTTTTATTTGCAGCACGGAGCTTTGGGATTCTCAACATTATGCTCAGAGGGGAATGAAATCAATCACATCATTACCACCACAGAGACTAAAAGAAGAAGAAAAAAATCATACAGCCATTGAAGCTAACCCAGTGCATCAAGCCCCAGTAATGTTCATAACCCAGCTTGGTCTCTCGTAGCTGAATTATTTAAAGCATAAAACTGTAGAATAAATAAAGTGGTAAAACAAGCAGAAAGAACCTGCAAAGAAAAAACAAAGAACAGAAGGGAGTGTAAACAGTGTTTGTGTGCCTGCTTGCCTCTACAGGCTGTCAATCACAGCGCAATTATTATTTTTCCATTATTGTAATTATGTGTAGAGATAGCAAATGGAATGAGGGAATTCAAACTTTGTCTTGTGCGACAGAAGTACACAAGGGAAGGTTTAAATTACCTTATGTGGGAAAGTCTAATATAGGCTGTGCTCGTCAGTGATGTAAGTATTGATGTAAGTCTTTGCATTTACACAAATTTTGCATGTTTTATCACACTTTATGAATGTGCACGGAGACAGAGAATATATGTGACAGCAGGCTGTAGCTGCAGAGGATAAAAAACTGAGCATAAAGTGGTCACGCACGACGCCGTGTGCGCCGTTCCCCAGCTGCAGTTAACATAAAGAGAACATCCAGTGAAGAAAAAGTGGTGGGAGTGCAGACTTTTATATTCCTTGCTGTGTTTACTGCCAGCGGTCTATGTACCTTGGTTAAAATCTGCTGGGAAAGCACAGTGATATGTTATTACTCAAGTCCATGAACACGACCTACTGAAGTCCCAGCTGGACCGTTTCCATCCATCCATTTATTCCCTATACTGTCTTATTCAGAGCGCACTATTATAGCAGCACAATAAAGAAGCCTATTACCGGTACTGTTTAACACGAGCTTCACAAAGGTCAGTTTAGTAGGACTCAGTCAGTTATGGTAACTGGATGTTTGCATTTTTTTATTTTTTATTTTTTGCACACAGTAAAATTGGACCTCTGGGACTCTTCTAATGTTTCACTAAAGATCAAGGTTCACCTGTGCAGTTTTATTGCTAGAGAGCAGTGGGCATGGCAGGTTTAGGACACTGTTTGTTCTTAACAGTAGAACTGAGCTTTATGCAAATGATTACAGAAATTTGACTGCACTGTATGTCGAGCACGTCCTCGAGCGTCTACCAGTTTTAATTTACGTCTGTGCAAATGAAAAGCTATTAGCACTCTGCAAATGTATAATTGACAGAAAACAAATCTGCTAGTTCAGATAGGCAGTGGTTTCAATACTTTTGCAATCAAAATGACTAAAAATTTCTTCTGAAAATGTTCTATTTTCTGTTAATGAACTTGAGAGGACTCATTCTAATGTGCTTGACCCTGAAAACAAAATGCAGCAGCTTTTAAAAAATGAAGACGCTTTAATCTTTTGGAAATGTTCAAAATTAGATTTTAAATCGCCCAGCCTCCATTTGTAATTGTTTTACGCCATTATGCTTCATTTTACATTGATTTATTGAATATTTAAACTTATTTGCAAGTGTTTCTTGTTTTACTGTAATTTGCATTAAAAATACAAACAAAAAAAACCCAAAACAATTCATCTTTCCCAAACAGGCAGTTTGGATGAACACCCAACTTTAATGTGAAGGGGAATGCCTTTTCTCCAGCATTTCTCTTTGTTGTTTCCTTCCTGCAGATAAATGAAATGCACATCCACTGAGGACTGATTACTCTTTCTTCAGTACAGTATAGTATATTTATATATATTTACAGGAGCTTTCTGGGGCCCTAAAATAACCCTCACTTGAAAATGTTTTTATATCAATTTTACTTGTTCAAGGGCCACTAATTAAAAAAGAATCTGCTGGAAACAGTTTACACCGTGTCCACATCAAAAGTCATGGCTGTGTGAGTTATATTTATACATATGAAGAGTTCATTTGCAAAAACAGATCCATCCTCACAAACCTTCAGAAAACCCACTTTCCCATCGTCTACCTGAGACAATATAAATCAAACTTAGGTTTTCTCTATTTTCATGTCATTTCTACTGAGTCAAATCCACTCAACTTCAGTTTGACTGATATTATCTTCAAGGATTCAAGGATTCAAGGGACGTTATTTACATGTTTGTGGTACGAAATTAGTACTCAGGTCCTGGTTTTTAAAGAAAAAAAGCCTAATAAATAATAAGTACAATAGAAACAAGAGCAAAATATAAGTAAAAATACAAGCAAACAACAAAAAAAATACGTTTTCTGAAAATCTACTAAATGGATTTATCTGTTTTTGCAAATGAACTCTTCCAATGTTGAACCCATAATATAGTGTCCCAGCTAAGACTCTTTTTAATGATTAAAAACAGGGTTCTCTCTTCTATGGAGCTTAGTTTTTGGACCCAATTAACAAATATTACAATTAAACTGTACATCTATAAAGACTGAAACCAACATAAGTTTGATATTTCCGGTATATTCCGTGTGAAGTGACACGGGTTGACCCCTTCAGAGAAAACACACACGGTCTGAAACACGCGAAGCCACAACACTGTCCCTCCCCGGCTCCCGTAGCTTCCCATCCTGAAGGTGGGGCTTTTGTTGCAGGAGCGGTTTGTATTCGGAGAGCCGATGCCTCGGTCTGCGCTGTTAATGCAGGCAGCAAGATAGCATCAACCAAGAGCAGAACCACGAACCCTGCTTTGGTAAGGCTTCACAACTTTCTCATTGTGCTGGAACAACTGTGGGTTTCCTTAACGGGGCCTTTAGAGAGAACCGGTACCGGTACCACACCTGTTTTAAGGAGCGACCAGTGGACCCAGAGGGGGGGAGACCACTGAACACAGGATGGGTCCAAAAAAAACTCTTAATTCGTCTCAGATTTAAGCAGCTAATGTAAATATGGTTTGGTGCTAGTTGTGTAGCTAAGCTAGCTGCCGTTTGTGTTGGTTTTAAACGGCTACGATGCTAACGGTAGACGTCACGCTAAGTTGCCGCACATTAGCCGCTCCGTAGCGCCGCTAATGTGGGCATTTGGTTTAATGTTGTCGTCGCTCGGTCACTTTTCTTCCTCTTTTTCCTTTAGCGAGCCGCTGTTTGTCCGTTAGCGCCTGTTTAATGCCCGCAGCGCCGCCAGCTCGTTTAGCAATAACGGTTAACCAAAGTCCGAGCTTCGGTGTTTAACGTGTAAAGTCACCTGAACGCAACACGGACGTCTGAGAAGGTAAGTTGATGGAAAAAAAAAAAAAAAAAATGAACTCTTTTAATTAGTGGTGAATCAGTCTGAGGTGGTTTGTTGGCGAAAAGTTTTCCTGTGAGGAGATGACACACCCAAAGCAGCTCCAGGGTTTGAACTGTCAGCACAACGGCCAGTTTCCATCATAGTTGGTTTGTGTTGGCAGTAATGCTGCTGGTCTGTGTCTGATCCACCACATTAAACCATAAAGTTATCTCACATTGTAGGGAGTTTGTTGCTGTGCTGTGGAAACCACTGGCTCCTCCATATCCTCACTATGGAGTCACTCTAATTCAAAATAGTTGAGAATCTGAAAGGAGGAGGAAGTTGAGTCAAAGTGGAGAAAGCTGATTGCAGCGCTTTTAAATAATTACTAGATGACTTCTTTCTTTGTTATACACAACACTGATCATTTAGTTTGAATTGCTGTTAAACTATTCAAAACTCACACTAGACGGCTGAAAACATGGTTTGTTGTTTTGTTTTATGTCAAGTCACCTGAAGTAAATGATCACCCGTCGGCGCCCTAAAGGAGAGAGGAGAGGATAGGCTTTAATGAAGATGGATGCAGTGAGATAGTCATCGCTGACCGGCTTGGAATGAGCGAAACAAAATGAGAAAGAATCGCAAAGGAAGAGGCAGAAAACTGGTTGTGACAGTGGTCCAGTAATTACATCCGCAGCTGTAATAATAACTTTGTTTGTTCGGCACAGTTCATAGCTCAAGGACAAAAAAAATAGACGTATCTCAAAACTAATAGCATTAAACATACAGCAGTTAAATATAATAACGTGAAACACCAGTTATTGAAATAAAACTGTGTAGACGACAGAAATGCAAGCTAATAAAGATCAGTTTTAAGGTTTACATGGGTTTTTATTAGACAACAAATGCAGCATCTCTGTACAGTTTTGTTCTGCTCTTAGTTCAGAGACCAGAGTTAGGGATCTGGAGGAGGCATAGCTAAGAGATGAACAAACTCAAAGCAAACTGGACTTCTATACGGTCTACTGTACAGGAGATGGATAACGTTTTCAGTTCCCTTCAGCCTTTTTTTTTTTGTTTTTTGAGTAGGAGGAAGATAGTGTTGGCCAAGTACCGCACGCTTGTTCCATCTCATTATTAATACCAACCCTACTTTCCTATCACAGGAAAGTGACAAATACAATTCATCATCCAGATTTGTGTGACTCAAGGGTGACTAACGGCTAATTTAAACAGCCCCGGAGATGCATAAGCTCTCCCTTTTATCATTGTTCCTAGAATTACATGCAACCAACCAACCCCGCATAAACAACTCATGAGCAAAATGCTGATTCCAGCTCAGTGCAGCATATTCTGGGAAACCGGTTCAGGAGTCGTCTGACAGTCTTGCAGAGCTCCCTCAGATGAGTTTGTTTTGGAACTACTAAAACCCGATTTTTTTTTAATGACTAAATAGACAAAGTATTCTGTGTCGTCCCACCATAACATATAATTACCTCATTTACAAAATGCTGCTTCATGGCTTTTCATGGAAAAGCCTGAGACTAGACCGGGTTCAGTTCTGGCGAAGATGCAGTTTTTCTTCAAAGCTGTAGACCAGCAGGCCGTTGATATCAAAGGTGAAGAAAGGCCTTGGAGGTGGGAATCTCTGGCTGTGTCAGGACAAGACTCTCAATGCAGAATGATTATTGATTAACCTACAATAAAAAGCAAGGAGTTATAAACTTTTGTTCCAGTTGATGTCTGCCAGAGCACAGACTGCTAACGGGACGTAGCTGACAGTTAAGATAACTAGTTTTGGTAAAGGTCGTCTAACACATTTTTTAAAGTTACTCACGTGAATTACGTTAACTGCATCAACATGAAATCTTTGGAGATGAGGAATGTGATGATATAAATGCTTTCTGACCTACTGGATTTATATCTGTGCACCGAGCATGTCTTGATCTAAACTCTTGTTTTGTTTTTTATGCTAAGGCGTGTGGTTCCTTCCTGTTACCACAGCTCATCACAATAAGGTGCTTCACTTGGCTTCCCTTGTTTTTTTTTTACTCAGCCTGATTGGCTCAGATGAAAGAGCTCCACCTGGTCGTCTGATCAGTTTTTCATTTTCTGAGGAGGCTTGTGAATGACCTGGATTCTTAGAGTGCGATAACACCGGAGTCAAGAAACCATCTGCTAATGATGTTGGCAGTGGAAGTACAGGGCAAGGGCAGAATTCCTCTTTTTCTTTTTTTCTTTTTTAAACTGAACTTGCAAAGTGAGTGATTATGTGCTAGAGATGGAGCTGAGGTCAGTGCATACCTCGCCATCATCAGCTGTCTGCCTGAGTCAGCGAGGGCACAGGGAGGTTCATATATTTAGTGTGACTGTCAGTTAATTACCTAATGAGATGGAAAAAAACTGCTGTTTTTTTTTACATCTAGTCATCTGATATAACATAAAGTGCTATGTCCAGCTAGTAAGAAGAGTATATAGTGTCATCTGGCATACCTATAGTATCTGGGATTGGTGTGTGTAACTGTCCACTTATAAAAAGAAGGAAGAGGAACAAGTTATGTAAATGTGTGTTTGCAGAACTCTGTGATAATTCAACTTTTTGGATGCTTTAATTCTGTGTAACCCACTGCTGGTGCCTCAGGCCATGCTCACCTCGGTGCAGCTGCTGCGGAGGCTACCTGTGTCGGCTCGGTTTGCCTCCACGCTTCACATCCACAAGAGTCCCTCATTTACTATGAGAGCCCGAGAAGAAGCTCATCTCTGCTCCACCATGTTTCTAATTACATTAGAGGTTTTTCCTTGGAAAGAATCAAACAGCAGAAACATGGAGCTCATTGAAGAAAAACAACACGACCTTCTTCATTTCATTATGTCCGTGTTGTGTGCAACACCTTTCTGCAGTGAGTAAATTAAACACGTACCTTTATAGAAAGACTAAAGTCCAGCTGGAGGCAAATCACTTTGCTGCAGCACAGCTGAAGGTAAAGCAGCCACAGGCCAGCAGTTGCTTTCCTACAACACCTCCGTCTCTTTCATTTGATCCCATTTCTTCCATTTCAATTTGTGCAGTTGGTATCCACTGTTGGTGCGGCAGAGCTGTACACGTATGTTGTTTAGCTGAGGTAGAGAATTTGAATCAAGATTTGCTGTCACTGTAGCTGTTGAAGTGTGTCATGATGCAGCGCTAGGTTTATTAACTCGTGAGTCATTTGGCATCATGTCAGTAGCCCGACTGTGTCACGTTAACATCCAGGTCCGGACAACACAGGACTTGGGTAGCCTTGCTTTTGGGTACGTAGAGATCTGAGATCCCACTCGGCCTCTTTGCTCCACTGCCACACACCTGCACTCACAATGTGTCCTCCTCCAGACAACACCGTCACTTCACAGAGTGAGAGGCCGTCTCAGCCTGTTAACGTATTTTAGATGCACATTTATGTAAAAGCTGGTGGCAAAGACAGAAGATTTGATCCAGTTTTCTTCCCTTTCCATTTCAGTAAACCTGTGTGTTTATTTCAGTCACAGCTTATTGTGTGCTGCATGGGTCCAGTATGAAGGTACCGTACGGCAGTTTGAGGCCGACCGTTTAGTCTGTTCAGAACGGTACAGAAAGTGTCCAGCCCTGAATTTTACAGGCACCACTGGCCCCATTAACACATCTGAGCTGAGGCTGAAGAATCGTGGGGATTTTGGGTTGTTTTTTTCCAGCAGTGCTGTCATGGTTTACAACTGAACTCATTTACACCATGATAGCACCACAGGCCTCTGCCATGGTGTAGGTGGTATGGAACTGAGCCTGTTGTGTTTCCTGGCAGGCAAATGGAAGAAAAAATAATATATAGCGAGTTGGGATAAGTAGTGGGCAGCTGAGAGTTACTCACCAGGAACAAATAGGTTTGTGAATAAATGTATGCGGAGCTCTGAATGCTTCTCTCTGTCTTCCTTGAATCAATGTAGAGGAATGCTGAGGTAATGACACAAGTGTTTGGAGACGATCGTCGGTGTCAGCTGCAGGGCGGTTAGAGAGGATGTCTGCTGTGTGAGGCCTAAATCCATGTTTTGCATGAGTCACTGCTCTGACGCTGTGGGGATCAGTAGCTCTGCACTGTTTGCACCTTGATGATGATTTCCATATGAATGAGAAAAGAAAATGGTTCCGAATAGAGAGGTTTTTTTTGGGAGAATAACAGTCCACTTAATGTCGCTGAAGTAGGAAGGATTGTAACCCAGAGAGGATTTAGGTCTCCACTGCCCAGTTTTGTCAAAGGCTCCTCTGTACACTCCCCTGGCTCAGGGTTGTTAGTATGCATTGTGGGCCGCTTTTTGAAAATGTCTTCCTTGCTACAGTTTGTCGTCTTTTTAAGTGGACTAAATCATTTCCTGATTACCGCTGGTGGTGACCATTAAAGCTGCTATATCTTAAAGAGGAAACACATTTCTGTAAAGACCCAGCAGCAGTTTGCTGTTGAATTATGCATCGTTGGTAACTCCTGTGATAAACAACCCTCAGCGTCTCAGGATTCCTGTCGCAGTGTGTCACAGAAGATTCATTCTTCTGGTCACCTCATGACTGAGGGGACTCAGCTAGGTTGTATTGTTTTGGCCACAGCTAGTTTTAATTATGACTTCTGAGGTCGTCAGCTGTCCACAACCCAAGGCTAGCTTCACGTTTGCTGGAGTAGAAGAAAAGTGTAGAAGTGTTGGATTTTGGGTGGGACACAGCGAGAGGTTTGATTTGCAGCTGTTTAGTGAGAGTTTTGCTTTTCTGGCAGCAAAATGATGAAGGGAGGATCTGTTTGGATACAACAAGGATGAACAAGATGAATATCGCAGTATTTTTTTCTTTTAGCAGCTTTTGACCATAATTCTTCTCCTCACATAGCATCAGTCAAACCCAGCAGCCTTCCTGTTCAGCCACCCTGTCACTGAGCTATCTGGAGTGTTTTCACTGACTCAGGTGACTGAGATGAGATCAGAGAAACGGCTAATCTCCTTCACAGATCCTTGGAATTCGGAGGGTTTTTGTTGGGCCAGAAAAGCCCCTGTGTTCTTCATCAGACGGGGAGAGGAAATCCCCTCACCCCCGGGATCTCAGGAATGGAGGGAGAGCGTGTGCATCCTCAGGCTCTCTGCTGGTATGGCTCAGATGTCTTGGATTTACACGCATAGATCAATTCGCTTGCACTGCTTCCCTCAGAGTGGAATCTGGGCATACCAGTACACGACGCTGAAATTGACCATCGCTGTCGCTAACACGCTGTGTTTGTAGCAGTGATACTCCTGCACAGAGAGGGTTTAGTCATCATACCTGCACAAAGAAGAGACAGAAGTGGGGATGTCATCAGGCTTTTAAGGCTAAATACCCACATTTCAGTCTCTGTAAAATCAGAATAAAACTTGTAATTAAATAAAGTTGATTTGTGCTGCTTAATTGATTGAAGCATGTCTGATTGGTTGTTTTGCTTTTCTGCATGGCCTGGCAGCATCAGTATGGCTTGTTTCTCACTATATGTTTGCTGTAATCTTTTATTAGTGTCTGCTGAGCATGGATGGAGCATCGGGCCATCCTCCAAAGGGAATCTTAATGAATTCCTGTTGCCCACACTGCACTGGTGTCATCTATATTTCAGGAGCCTAGCAACCAGAGTGGTCTGTTAGACTGTACCCCTCCTTCTCTGTAACCCCACATCCCCTAAGAAGGACCAGCACCAAGCCGGCTCCGGTTCCATAACTGGGTCACGCCTAAATATTAATTCCTCTTCCCTTTTGCCAGCGCCCTCCATTCTCACCCTGCATGTGACTTGTGTTGCAGTGCAGCTGGTGGAAATCTGACAGGACCCCTCCCCTGCTCTCTGGATTTCCTCTGGAAACTTTGCACTAAGCATTTTTTTTCTTCTTCCTCAGTTTATTTGATGCTGTTGATGTATCTCTAGTATTGTAGCCTGTGTGTGCCTGTGCTCCATGAAGTGGGTTACAAGTGAATAATTTAAACAGTGACCCTCATGCACGACTTTCACCTGATTTCAGAAGGTGTGTAAATGAGTGTGTGTGTGCTTGTGAGGGGGTATCTTTCCCATGAGCCCTTTCACTGGCCTGGTTACTGATAACAAAGACAGGAAGTGCACAGGTCAGACTTCCTGGTCAGGGAGAGTGGAACCGTGATGCCACATCCTCGGTGTCAGCTGTCGTCATGCTTTATCAGCAGTAGTAAAGGTTAGCGTGATGGAAATCAGGCATTCTGCTGTTAGACTGGGGTTGCTAATTTTAAACAGACCGCCCGTTTGATAGTCAGCTCGTTATCATTAATCGTTATCCTATTAGTCCTTAAAGCCAGTGAAGTACAGTCGGTTTTGTCCCAGATGCTGGTGAAGCCACTTTTAACCACTTAACTGGTATATTTGCCACAGAATGGGCTCAATTACATCAGCCGCTCTGAACAGGGCTACAGGACTCCACTGCCGGCTCTGGCTGCGTTCCAAACTTTGTCTTTTTAATGTAAATATGTACTACAGCTGTCCTCACAAAGGATATGCTAATCCATGGGCTATGCATACAATTGTGAGGTACTACTTTGTCATAATACTACATTTTACTACTTATAATAACATAATACTACTTTTTTTTAACCATCGCAGTCTGTTGTTCAAAACAAGCTGTTGGTGCGCTCTTGAAGGCTCCAGCTGGTTTACAGGAGACACCGTGACATATTTGATGTAATTGTGAAGAGAATTGTGGGTCAGAATGCCCCACAGATCATACTGGTTTGCATTCTGCAGAATCAGACTGGATGTAGGAGTATGTGAGGATGTTTTTGGTGTGCTGCATTTGACATGCTGAGTGTTGGGACACACTAAATGTTTTTCTAGGATATGATATAGTATGCAGGTATGGAATGCATGTCCCTTGTCTTCTGCCTTATTAGTAAATATGTTGTCAATCAGTGAAATTATTAAACAGCAAATCATTGATTTACGATTTTGGACAATGCAAAATTCTCCCATGCACGGTTGCACATTAAATTATTTTCTGCAGGATTTGATGCCGTAGATTTTCACACCAGGAGTTTGAGGCTGGTTTTAGGATTTATGTCGTGACATTTTCTCTGCATTTGTAATGAAAAGCTTCTTGTGAAAGGTACGAGCTCCTCACTTAACGTTTGCTTTCTTCACAGTAGACTCGTGGCACTGTTTGAGATGAAATGTTTACCGTTGGGGAGGAGCAGATTATGAATAATGCTATAAATCAGCTCAGTGCTCCCATTAGCGTGACATCCCAGGAGGAGGGACGAGTCTTTCTTTCTGCAGGGAGATGAAATGATAGTGGAAGACAGTAAGAGGGAGAAATGGGTTGGGTCCCATGTTGTAACAACAGTGTTTAGTCATAACTCTGAGGCACAACCCTGGCACTATTAATTCTCTGGTCCTATCTGCCAGATGCTCCGCCTGGTGCCTGGCTGTACGTAGCATGTATGCAGTAGGGTCAGTAGATGGCTGGTTGTTGACCTGTCTGGCAGGATGACACCAACTCAGAGATGAGGATTGATTTAGGAAGATAAAATATTAAAAGTATTGATCAGGCAGTGGAACTATTTGTTGGCTATTTTGAAGAAAGTGACGGTTTTCCCAGAGGCTGCACTAAATGTGTATGAAGACGTTCATGGACCTGGTGCTGCAGCACTGAGCTTCCATTATAATCAGTCAGACAGGTGAAGGATAAGTGTGCACCACAGGGATATACGCTGCAAACACATCAGTACATTAGTCTTTTTCTTAAGTTACTTTACACAAGAGCCGGGTCTAGGAACTGAGGACACAAACACCCCAAAATGAAAACAAACCGTCTTGTTCTGTCACAACCCGACACCTTCATCCACTGTAGAGGACACGTCCTGTGGCACTTCCACTCTCTGAGCCGTCCACATTGATCGAACATTCAGTGTCGCTCCAGCATTGCTGTGTCATAAAAACAGGTTATTGGCTGTTGGGTCGAACACAACATGCATCCTTCAATATGGATGACAATAACAATAACAAAGCAACAAGACAAAGTGTTAGAGCCAGTTCCTAAAGGGTTAAATGATCATTAAAACAGTCGTCTCTATCGATGGAGTGGACTACTCACTTCCAGCTTCAATGTGGGTATTATATAGCAGACGTTGTTTACTGCTTTAGTTTTAACATACTAACTGATAAGTTGCTCTGTTGCCTCAAATAGCAGCATGTAGTGGGTCTTGCACCTCCCTTTTAAGAAGTTTGATAAGAGGAATCAATAATCCCTGCATCACTAGTCCAGCCTGGTCAAACAGATGAGCTCTACAGTCCATTATATAATGAACAATACAACATACTGAGTTCTTGGCTGCAGTATATACGACCAATAGGTGAGGCAGCTTGATGACTTGCTCTGAACCCAGCACACATTTCACACTGTCAATAGTTTGATGTCTGTCCAGATGAAGCGGCGGTGAAGACGTGGCAGGCAGCCGTTTACGGCGTCGTCACTCTGCACCCTGTTGGAAGTTGCATCTGACAGACAGAAGATACTGAAGTCAGGCAAAAGCAATTGACTGTGAGCTTTCACCTTCTGAGGGCAGGGCCATTACGGAGCAGATAGATGGCCAGTCACGTCTGCCTTCTCTTTAACGAGTTTAGCACATGATGCCCTATTTTAATGCATTCGTAAATGCCGCCTTGCAGTGGAGAATGATGGCTTCATTACTTCTGATCAGTAGCAATGACCTTTTGATGGCGAACTCTATAAAGTTCTAGGATTCATGAGTAGGCAATTTGGCACTTTAATGGAAATGGTGGGGGTTAAGATTCAAGATTTGCTGGAGCACAGCCTAGAGCCTTGGCACAGAAAGTTACTGTCATAGTGAAAGCTGCTCAGTAACAACTGCCATCTGTCCCCGCGCTCGTCCATACGTTGGTGTTATCTCCGTGTGCAGGTTATTTACTGTACAAGACACTGATATGTTTCCACTCTCGTCATTCACAGGTTGTGTCAGCGCGTGTGTGTGTGTGTGTGTGTTTGTGCGCATGTGTTTGAGTCTGTAAGCGAGACACAAAGAAGAATCCAGTGATGGCGACCAGTAAAAGTAAAAACCAGAGCTCTCTGGCCCTGCACAAGGTGATCATGGTGGGAAGTGGCGGCGTGGGGAAGTCGGCGCTCACCCTGCAGTTCATGTACGATGAGGTGAGTCAGCACACGCCTGTAAACGACTTAAAACCGCTGTTGGTTTAAGGATGGTAGAGAAGTAAAGGCTTCAACAGTAAACATGATCACCTGCACCGCTGTGTCCAGTCAGCTGACGGTTATCTACAGTCTCTCTAATGTGGTAGCGCATGTCTAAATCAGCACTGTCCTTACAGTAGATCACCAATGAAAAGCTAAACTGCTGTTGAAACTGCTCTCTGTCGCATGAGAACAAGAAACGACCGTCACAGAAGTCCAATAACACTCCTAAAAGGTTTACAAGGGGACTGCTGTAAAAAGAAGTGCCCTGCTCTCCTTTCTACAGATGTTGTTTATTGTGACAACGCCTCAGTGAGGGCAGAGGCCGCTACAGTCTGGCTCTGCTCCCAAGCAGCATATCAGCTCAATGTTCTGGTTCTGTGTCTGATGTCCGTGTTGAACGGCGTCGCTCTTCACCAGCTGCAGAACTTCTCAGGCTTCACTAAAGCTCAAGTCATGTGAGTGCTGCTCAGAGCCTCGTTCACGCTTCAACATATCTGAAGATGTCTTTTCATCCCCAGTTTGTGGAAGACTATGAGCCGACGAAGGCAGACAGCTACAGAAAGAAGGTGGTTCTGGATGGAGAGGAGGTCCAGATCGACATCCTGGACACGGCGGGCCAGGAGGACTACGCCGCTATCAGGGACAACTATTTTCGCAGCGGCGAGGGCTTCCTGCTGGTCTTCTGCATCACGGAGCACGAGTCCTTCACGGCCACCGCTGAGTTCAGGTACTGATGCACGCATGTAAACGTGACGCCTGGCAGAGCTTCACTCTGCAAACTGTGAGGGAATGAGTGCTATTAGGAGACCAACATAGTGGTTTAAATATACAGTTAGTAGGCAGGGAGCACTTAGAAAAGAATCTGTCTGGTCTTCTTTTTTCTTTCTATTACCCAGTCCAAAAAATTTAATGACTATCTGGCAGAATCAGGCCTGGAATTATGAACGTAAATCCAGATAAGAAGATTGCTCAGGAGCTTTGCATGTAGAAAACAGGACCTGCACCACGGCTTTGCATCGATGGTACTCTCTAACGTGTTATATTTGTGGAGAGAAGGATGTCGGTGTGGCAAAAAAACATCATCAGCTTCAACCAAATACTGAAGCTCGCCTGCTAATTTTAGTCAACAGAATCATTTACACCTGCATCAGCCTCACTTTCACACAACATGCTGTAAATAAGGATGGAGAACAATGTGGTGTTTCTGACAACACACTAATCCTGATGATCCTTCTAATCGGCTCTTAAATAAACGTTGTCAGTTAATGAGGACGTGTGTAAAACATTTTATCGTGTTGGATTGTATTTCAAACAAAAATCACGAGTCAACCAGTGAACATGCCCACACTGGACGCTTTGTGCCGTGCTGACAGGGAGCAGATCCTGCGGGTGAAGGCAGAAGAAGACAAGATCCCTCTCCTGCTGGTGGGGAACAAGTCGGACCTGGAGGAGCGTCGGCAGGTGTCTGTGGACGAGGCCCGTGGGAAGGCGGAGGAGTGGGGCGTCCAGTACGTGGAGACTTCAGCTAAAACCAGAGCCAACGTCGACAAGGTGCGAACGCTCACACGTTATATTTAGAATGTAGAGCTGTGCTGCAGTCTGGTGCACTTAGAGTGAAAATTACAACCGTGAATAGTTCATATTTAGACATTAACTTCATACAAAGTATAAAAATAAAAAAGAACTAAATGAGATGTGGAGCCTTTGCAGCAACACCATTTCTCCCAGTTACAGTTTCTGAAGGTGCTCAGCATGTACGCTGCTCAAAGCATCTCTGTGAACCTGCCACGGTTCTTCTGTCTGTTCCTGTAATCCCAGACTGATTTGATGACGTCTTTGTGCAGAAGAACTTGTTCCTCTTTTGATTTGAGATCTTTGACTGTAGACTTAAGGTCACTGTCGTGCTGTAAAACGAGTTTGGGACCAATTAGATACGAGAATACAGACATGGGAGACATCTAAACCTTTTGCACAGTTCTGACGTTTATTTGATCCACATCCAGGATTTCTGCTCTGTCATCACGACACCGTTTGCATGTTGTGACAGTTTTAAGTGAAAGTGCTTCGTTGATTTCTCTCCAGGTGTTCTTTGACCTGATGCGTGAAGTACGAGGCAAGAAAATGTCAGAAAACAAAGACAAAAACGGCAAAGGTAAAAACAAGAAGAACAAGAAGAGCTTCAGAGAGAGATGCTGTTTACTCTGAGCTCTTCATGGACCTGAACAAGCCACAACTCGACTGTAATGCTGGGGAACAAAGCAGAGCGTCTTTGCCATTGTCATTCGAATGAAATTTGATTAGATTTTTTTAATAGCTTGTTATAGTTTAGTGTCTAGAACAATCTCAACCACTTTGTTGCCAGTTTTAATTAACGAAACCTGACGTAGTTTTTGTCTCATTGGGAGATGACCACTGTTGTGACTGTGACTGCAGTGCTGATGACGGCTCGCAGGAAGCCGCTGACCAAACTGCCACTGACACTAACGCTGCTGCTGCTGCTCAAGACATCCTCCACTGTTTAACTCAGCGATCGTACTGCCTTCGACTTCGGTTAGGTGTGTTTCTGTCAAGTAAACAGTGCCCTTAATTTCTGTACCGGCTCTAAATCTTAACCCGCATATTTTTTATGTTTTTTTTTTTGTTTCGGCTCTACGTTCATCCATTTACAAGGACTTCTAATGCTGCTGTCTGTCACATGTGAATCATTAATGATGACACTCGCTGTCCTGTCTGTTTAACATGTTGGCCTCATCCATTGATCTCTCCAGACTCCCGTGTCTTGACAACTTCAGAACGTGTTTGGAATGGAATTTTCAAATATTTTCATTTTCCAGCCCCGGAGGCAGCATTTTTTCTTCTCGCCGGTTCCACATTGATTCGTACAGCGCGCTGCAATCAGAGGAGCTGTTGCCAAACAGGGTTATTTTATTTGATTGTCGGATTTATCAGCCTCGACGTGATTACCACAAATTAATCATAAGACGATTTGCAGTTTTTCATGAAGAAAGCTGCGAAATGAAACGAAACGCCCGGTGACTGAAACATTTCTGTCGAGGACGTTTATCGGTTATTCCTGAAGTCACAGAGCGCCGTGTAGATATTTTACCACGTTTAGGTATTTTGAGGCTGTGAAGAAGAAGGTAACGTGGTTCCCAGTTTACTTTTGTAGAGAAGAAAGTCAGCCTGTTGTTCTTAATGGTGCTCTGCCATGTGTGTGTGATCCAGCCTGGTCCATCCTCCTCACTGTGCAGATCCTTTCCTGTTTTACACCACTGTTGAAGTTTAGAGCGTTCCTTGGCTCTGTGCTGTAAGACAGGTGTTGACAATCCAGGAGGCCATCCTGCTTCTGCATCATCATCATCATCATCAGTAACTTCTTATTAACATTTTGATGTTCCTTTCTTTCCTTCCTCGGTCTTTTAAATAACATGCACTACATTGCCAATACCTAAGAAGCGGACTTCATGCTGAGTGGAGTCGTGCTGGAGATTTTTAAGCAGTCTGTGCCAACAAAATCACAAAAAATACAAAAAGTCCAGCTATGTCTGTGGATGTACAGTGTGTGTGTTGATTAACAGAGTGTGTGTACATTTATCAGAAACCCGACTACCTTACTGTGTCTGTGAGTGAAGCTTCGACGAGGGTGCCAGTTTCTGAACTGTTTAAACAAGTGCTACAGTAAACGAGATGTTTTTACCACTGCCTAAACCATCCTGTGTAACATGCCCCCTCTTTCTTTTACTGCCTACTACTGTGAGTATGCTTCGATCTGCAGCCACTGTGCTGCTGAATAAATGCTGTTTTCTTTGTAAGCAGTGGACTTTTTTTTTTCTTTTTTTCCTCAAAGCAAAAATGAAAATGGTTCGAGTGGAGCACCGTTAATTTGCATTTTATATTCCAGCCATAGCAACAACAGATTTATATGTGGTCCAGTTTAGTCTAAGTAGGTTGAGCTGCAGGCTGCCCTCTGCTGGTGAGTGGCGGTATTGCTCAGGGTGTGAACACTACACATTAACCACTGGAGTGAAATGTTCTGGTTGTCATTACCTGGTTCCTGGAGTATATCCTGTGCCCTAGTTTAGTCAGATAACCCGGCAGAGGAGTGCCATCGGCCTGCTTTTTGGGTTTTTTCTTCTGTTGTAATTTGACAGTGATATACTACCACCATGGATATTAACCTTACAGCCTTATCTTACATGACGGGAATTATGTACCGCTATCCGTAAGATGAGCCAGTCGTGGGCTGTCGTCGCCGAACCCCTGGGGCTGGCCGGGTCGCTGAAACTCATTTCACAGTGTGAAAACAGGGCTGACTACATCACCAGGCAAAAACTGACCGTACATCACTGTGAGAATAGTTTTCGTGCGAAGGATAAGAGGAAGTGTCTTTCCTTGGTAACGTGTTAAAGGAAGGGAAAACCACCGACTTCTGGTTTGACTGCATGTCCTCCACAGTTAGAAGTGAAAGAGCAGCTTGTGTTGCTGGAGCCCAGTGGCATTGAGACCCAAATTGAAAGTGGGTGAAAATTCACCAAGCAAATTCCTGTTGGAATTATTTATGTCTCTCTTGTTTAAAAGTGAGTTTGCGATGCAGCGACCTTACTCTGCTTCAGTTTCTACTCCGGTGTTCCTGTAGGCACTGCTGATTTTCTGTGATACTTCTACAACCTTCTGGGAACATAAATTTTCATCTTTTCCAGCTCGGTTATGTCATTAAGTCGCCCTTTGGTGTCGACACTCAGATATCCCCCATGTCCTCAAATCAATCGGCCGTTTGTTGGCGATGCAGCAGCTCCCGGCTGAACATCTTTACAGCATCGCAGATAAGACTCTTACCTCTCAGGTCTTTTGGACAGAATTGTATATTTACAAGTATTGATCAGGCGGGCCGGCACCAGGTGAATTCTTAAATCCAGTGTTGAGCGCTAACAGAGGGAGTGTATATAGAAGCGCTGTGGGGATTTAAACCTCTCACTTTAATGGGAGCCACTGTTCCACATTTACTCCACACTTCACAAACACACTAATCCCCCATAATTCATATCACCTGCAAAACCTACCAGGTATGAAAGCCTGCGGCGGCTAAACATGTCACAGCTCTGATAAGCGCATTTACCTGGCTGACACTCACCTCTCCGGATTCCCACTCTTCTGCTGCACCTCTAAGTAGGCAGATTAGGTGGTCTGTTAAACCCACAGGAAGGCACTTATTTAGAAATACATGAAAGGGCAAAGTGAGCCAGGCTAATGACCGATGCAGTGTCACCGGCGCACTCTCGGGTCTTTTATCATTCTGCAGAGAGGGCCCCCGTCCTCTGAGTAACCCTCATTATATCTGAGCTAATGTTGGGAATGAGGATGTTCAAGTGATAAAGCACCATCACAGTCCTTCATTATACAGAAAGAGAAACAGACTCGGTGGAATTGTGCTCGACCTATAAGATAAATGCAATGGACAGAGAATAACTCCTATTTTAGCGACTGTGCCACATCCTGCTGTCTGCATGGCGCGTCTCAGAGGGGAGGCTCTGGTTCTCTCTCCGACCATGGGATGGCAGTCTTGGTGTTCTGTAGGAGCCGGTCCGATGTGTGCTGCACTCATTAGTCCATTCCCTGCTATAGGCTTCACTCACTGCTGGCTGTAGATTGACTGAATGAGGCAGTGTTTATCCGACCCCGTTAAACATTTAGCCCATGCAGAATTAATGACTGGTTTACAATTATGTGTATATCAATTAATTATAATAGTGTCACATAATTAGTGACTGCACAAGTTGAATCTTTTTTTTTATTTTGTTTTCATTCAAGTCTGTCATTAGTTTCTGAAACAATTCACAGACAAAAAAAAGCATTTATTCTATAACTGCAGCACAATTGTAAAGTAAACCGTGACTCCCTAAATATGAGCACCTCGGCAGCATGTTGTTATCGCTGCAGCCGTCTGGTCCGTCAGCAGCAGCCCAGACCGCTCCAGCATGCATTGTGTGGCTGTAATAGCAAAACTATCAGCAGCACAAATGATGCTATTGGAGGAAAGAAAGCCTATTTGAACCGTCTCTTATTTTCTCTCTCACTTTTGCCATTTTAAGGAGGGTAAGGCGATCCTTCAGGACGTCGTCATGTGTTCTCCACAGAGTGTTCTCAGCAGACATGATGGATGATAGTGTGACGCCTCCATATGATACCGGAGGAGCCCCTTCATGCAAGCTGGACCCTATGCTAAATGTTTTAAGTGCTAATAATAACAACGGTGCTTCGTTCCTTTAAAAGCCAGGGGTATTTGTTCATAATCACAAATAGCTGCTGCATGAATTAGTTTTTATTCTTGGAACTTTTATTCTGAGCTTTTTAAATGTGAAAAATTAGACACTTTGTAGCCTCGACCAATTATTTAAATCAGAGAAGTTTAAAAGGGAAATCAGTCTTTGTTGGAGCTGCCAACAGCTCATTGAAGTCTGAGCCAATATGCTCCGATCAGACGGCGCTTTTATATGAAGGGTCACAAGCCAAAAAGGTGGGGAATCGCTGCTTCAGATGATCCGGTACGCGTGTCAGACCCTCATATGAGACAAATGGACTAACAGATATTTCTTTTGATGGTGAGGAATTAGACAGAATAATGTAAGATGCTGTGCCTCTGATCTAATAATGCTTGATTCATTTCTTTTATTTATTTTTTTTTGTGAATATGAAAAGTTATTTAAGGCAGAAAACGAAGCTGTAAAATATCGAGCAGCCACATAAACAGTGATTTTATTCCCACGTCACAACAGAGACAAAGACCGGCTACATGAATTAGCACTGTCCTCCCATAATCACTAACATGGGAAACTAATTAGCAGCGTCTGATGCAACTCTTCACTTAAATTAATGGAAGAAACCCTCCAGCATCTCTTATTTGACGCTAAAACAAACAGTGAAAGGTACGCCGCGCAATTCACACGAGCTCGTACTTATCAGCTCACCTCATCAGACCTTCACTCCGATGAGCAATAACAACATGTCAGCGGCGTGGAAACGTCAATTAAGCCTGTCACATAACAAACGGCTGTATAAGTGCTGTTTTCACATCTGCTTGTGATTTGCAGAGGAATTGTTTCTCACTCTACCTGCTGTGTATTTTCAAGAAATAATCACTGAAGTTGAATTGAGTCCTGATGCGCCCTCAGTCTGGTGCTCGTGGCCGTAAATGGACTGGAAAGTGAAGGCATCAGTCCAAACAGTCTGTTTTGCTGTTTGCAGTTATTCGAACTACATCCGATTTATAAAGTCTTCTATTTGCTGTCCCAAACATGGAGTTGTGTTGTTGCTCCCTGGAACGCTCTCCCGGGACGCAGATAAGGAAAAAAAATACAAATAAAACTGCTGACGGTTACCATGAAGCCCATGCATTACAGAAAAAAACCCCGAAAACACCGTCGGGTGCCAGTTAGACTAATGCACAAAGGTCACCGGTGCTGTTTATCTGCTTTCAGAAATTACAATAACATTTGAAATCTACTTCACAAATTAGCTCCGTATCTGTTTTGCTGGGAAAAAGCTTAAAACTTCTCATTTTGAAAGCAGTATAACAATGAAGGTGCTGCGTGTTTTTAACGAACCACAAATCCCTGCTATTTAAATGAGTTTTTTTATTTTTGTTTGTTTAGTTTTTTTTACACCTTGTGTTTTATCTTAAGCTTCAGTTCTCTCACCATCTGCACCGACGCTGCTTCAAACAGGCTCCACGGCGGACTCCATAGTCTCCCTGAACCTTGTTTTTTTATTTTATGTCGCACTTCAGTTCACCTTTACTCTTCAGTTATTAGTTATCGAGGGAGACATGACAGCTGCATAAAGAGCACAATGAAGAGACGCTTTTATCTGTTTAGCCTCCACTTGTGGGTGTCCTGCGACAGGAGCTAACACATACATTAAGGACTGTGTATATTGATCAGATTTGGTCTGCAGCAATGTTTAAGTGGGTGATATGTCCGAGCAGCCTCCACATTAATGACTCAATCAATGACAATCAGGCACTTCCTCGTCTGGTTTTAATGTTGTGGCTGGTCAGCGTACAGCCTTATAATCACACTGGATGCTCAGTAACAGTACTTAAAGTAAAGAACCACAAATAAATCTGATAACACGACGCCAGAAAGCCGGAGTAAAGATTAATGTATCCGCAGCTGTTTGCATATAGCAAGGCCTTCCCTCTCAGCTGATTAATTAACTCCTTACACAGCCATCAGGTATCCGCAGTTTCCAATTTGAGTGTCAAAGTGTAATTACGGATGCCATATCCACTGTGGTTAGCTTGATTAAATCTTGCACAACCACCACCGGCCTGTTGCAGAATAACAAACAAACCGCGGCGCTGTGTTTGATTGGGACTCTGTATTCTGTGCAGTCTGCCCGGTGATGCCGTTAATATCATCAGCAGAGTTGGAGACGCATGCAGGTCAAAACGGAGACAACTGGAGCTGTATTCTAAAGGAAGCTCCTCCACCTATACAGAGGTCAGATCTGGTGTGGGAACCCGGAGCGAAGCTGTCACCGTGGCAACGTCAGATGATAGAAACTTTAAACCAAGCCCTCACCTCCACACACAGAAAGGATGGTTTAGCGCTCCCTTTCCCATCGTATGTGAATAGATACAACGTCTAGATGTGGTGGACGCACCTTCTCACAAAGCAGCGGAGTAAAGGTCAGCGTCTGTCGGCTGATGAGCTGCCTCCAACGGCCAACAACCTTGTTTTGCTCTAATTTACAGCCGTGCAGCTGCAACAATCCTCAAGGTATCGGAGGTTTTCAATAAATTTCTCTCCTAACG